GCCCGGTGAAGGTGTTAAACGAGTTTTTACCTCCCACGTCCCAGACTCCGGCCCCACCTTGCCGGGTGTTGGTCCTTGGGGCTGTGCAGCGCTGCCCTCTCTGCTGACTGGCTGAGCTGTGGTAGGGCCAGAGGAGCCCTGAGGTGCCGCTGAGGCCAGCCCTGCGCCAGGGCGAGGTGTTGCTTGCCAGTCCTGCCAGGCGCTGGTTTCCATGGCTGCTATTAAGTCCTCTCCCCTCCCCCTCCTCCCTGCAGGCTCATTGCCTCCGGGGTGGTCATGCGCCCTTACGTGGAGGCCAACATCTCCCACAAGTCCCACACCACCATCAAGTATTTCCTGAAGATGTGGAGCAGCGTCAGCGAGACCCTGATCTTCATCTTCCTGGGCGTCTCCACCGTGGCCGGCCAGCACTACTGGAACTGGACCTTTGTCATCAGCACGCTGATCTTCTGCCTCATCGCCAGGGTGCTAGGTGAGGCGCGGGGCCCGGTGGGGTCGCTCTCGTGCCCTAGTCAAGCGCGCAGACCTCCCCGCCTCCCCCCCCCCAAGATGGAGAGCGGCAGTCGGGCCACATGAAGCTGGCTGCTCCCGCTTCCCTTTCAGCTCTAAATAGGAGCTGCTGCTGTTCTCGTCCGCGCCCGGCGTCGAGGGAGTGTGCGGCACGGCGGGGAGGAGGTGGCTGGGAGGCGCGTTGATCGGGCTTCGGAAGCGGCAGGCTGCGTTCACACCCTGGCACCTCCCCACTGGAGGGCCGGGGCCCAGCCCCAGCCTGCCTTGGCTCACAGGCTGAATGGGGCTGGGGGTCAGAGGGGCCCCTCGCTTATGTGTCCCCGTTTGGAAGATCCCAACCCTTGGGTGAGCCGAGCGCTGGATCCACAGCCCTGGCGCCCACAGGCCACGACTTATCCTCAGACTGGGCGTTCCTGTTCCCTTCTCTGGCACTGCCTGGGCTGCGGCGCCCCCCTGCTGAGCCCAGGCGCGGGACTCGTGGGACGTGCCTTTGTAGACACGTGTCTGTTGGGACCTGGACTGAGACCGGCCCAGCCCTGGTCACAAGCCCCTGAGCAGCCTCCCAAGTGGTGACCTCTGGCTTCTGCCTGCCTGGGCTAGGCGCCGACCGGTGGGAGGTTCTCACCTAGGCTCCGCCAGGCCCTATGCTGCACCTGCAGGCCTGGGAGGAGGATGCTCGTGCTGGGGGTTGCAAGCCAGGAGCTGGGATGGGGAGAGGGACCCCATGGAGCAGGGGGGTTCTAGCAGTGTCAGTCTCTTGCTTTCATGTCCCCCCCCTTCCCCAGTGTAGCTCCCTCGGCGGAGACAGCTCGTGCTCCACGTGGCTGGTGTCCGCCAAGGGCTGACCTTCGCCGGGCCACGTGTGTGCGTGTGACAGCGTGACTCTGCTTGGCCCCCTGCCGGTTCTCCCTCTCCAGGTGTCCTGGGCCTCACCTGGTTCATCAACAAATTCCGCATTGTGAAACTGACCCCCAAGGACCAGTTCATCATCGCCTATGGGGGCCTGAGAGGGGCCATTGCTTTCTCGCTGGGTTACCTCCTGGATTACGAGCACTTTGGCATGAGGGACATGTTCCTCACGGCCATCATCACCGTCATCTTCTTCACGGTCTTCGTGCAGGTAAGCAGGACGCCCCTTCCTCGCCGTGGTGCGTCGCCCAGCACCCTGGCTGCGTGGGGAGGGGCATCCGGCGGGAGCGTTTCCCCGGCGCAAATGTTGGGGGGACTGCTGGCGAGGATGAGCTGTGAGAGCCGTGGCAGGCTGGATAGTCCGGTGCGCTGCCAGGGAGAGGGACAGGCACGTGACTCAAGATGTTCCTTGCCCAGCTGCTCGGATCCTGGCCATGGGTCCGTCCTGTCCACTGTGCGGGCCTCACTGGCTGCCAAATGGGGTAGTGCCAGTCCCCTGCCTTTGTCCTGCTCTTCGGGACCGCCTGCTGGGGAATGCCACGTGGGCCAAAGGTTTGTCGCTTGCTGAGCTCTGTGATTCTTAGCAGCTTTCAAAGGCCAGGACAAGTCCAGGGTGGCCTCAGCCTCTGCCCGGCATCCTCTGGGTGCGTCAGTGTCTAATATGGGGGGGGGGGTCCCCAAGAACATGAGCCTGCTGGGGGCTGAGCCCTGGATTCCCATGGCACAAGGGAACAGCAGGGTGGCTTGTACCTCACCGGTGGAGGATGGGACCCAACTAGAAAATATTCAGCCTGGTTCCTGTCTCCAGCCATGGCTGTCCCAGGCCTGGGAGGTAGGGGGGACCCGGGTCCGTGCTATCCTGTGACAGGACAGGGAGCTGGTTCGCTGACTCCAGGGAGGGCAGGGTTGCTCCAGCATAAGGGGGGAGCCTGAGCGTCGCTCTCTGCCAGGCGAGGGCTCTTTGACTGTGTAACCCCAGCCCCTTCCGTTCCTCCCTAGGGGATGACCATTCGCCCCTTGGTGGACCTGCTGGCTGTGAAGAAGAAGCAAGAGACGAAACGCTCCATCAACGAAGAGATTCACACCCAGGTAATGGCGCCCCCCCCAGCTGGGGTCCCTCCCACCTTCTGCTGCTCGCCCTCTCCAAATACTGTAACCTGGGCAGGCGTACAGAGCGGGCGCTGCCCATGAGCTGGTATCCAAGGGGCCAGGTGAGTGACTGCAGGTCTGTGCATCTTCTGCACCTCCCCGAAGCAAGACCTTTCTGCTGTAACTAGTAGCAGAGCAGCCAGTCGTAGGCCGGTGCTGCCCCCCAGAGGCCAATCCTGCTGGTGCCGGACCTGCTATCCCCACCAGTGGCTGAGCAAAGTTCAGCGTCCCATCTGGGGGTGAATTGGGGAATGGAGGGGCAGGGGCCTGGCTGGTGCATTCTGCCAAGACTGAACCTCTGGGGCTTGCTTTGCGCCCTCTCCAGTTCCTGGATCATCTTCTGACGGGCATCGAGGACATATGCGGTCACTACGGCCACCACCACTGGAAAGACAAGTGAGTGCGGATGCCTCTCATGCAGGCTTTCTGACCCCCGGGGGAGGTGTGTGTGCGGCAGGAGCTGGGGGGGAGAAGCAAGAATTTTAGACACAGGCTAGTGAGCTCCAGTCCCCCTGTTCTCCGAGCTCCCTCCCGCGCATGCTGGGAACCCCTGGCTAGAAGCCGCTGCATGGAGCCATGCTGCATCGGAGGCCTGCGATTCCTTCCCTCCCACTGGCCAGAATGTCCTCGACTTCCACCCCATGGGTTCCCACAGCCCAGGGCGAACTCCATTACCACCTTCCCCTGCATGGGAAGTCAGCATCACCTCCTGCCTAGTGCAGGGGACTAGCCAAGGGGCACTGTCGAGGGAGGGAGGGGCTTGCCAACCCCAGAGGAAGAGGGGGGGAAGGAGGCTGCATTTTGGCCCTCGTTTTCCTCGGCAGCTCTCTGCCGTGCGCCGTGGATCCGCCGCTCACATGGCGCTCGCTGGTCCCGGCTCTCTGGCCCTGATGTCTCGTGGAGGCGAATGGAGCATCAGCTGATGGGCATGTGCATGTTCAGTCTCTGAAGTGTTCTGGGACCGGGGGGTAGAAGGGGCATGTCTGACCGCTGGGCCCAAACTTTTGCACCCAGAGCATCTGGATCTGCTGGGCTGGCCAGCCCGAAGGGAAGGCGGAGATGCTGGGCATGACGCTGATCCCATGGGGCGGGAGGGACTTGAGGGTCGCTGCCTGACACCCCCCTCCCCGCCCTCCTGCAGGCTGAATCGCTTCAACAAGAAGTACATGAAGAAGTGCCTGATCGCGGGGGAGCGGTCCAAAGAGCCGCAGCTGATTGCCTTCTACCACAAGATGGAGATGAAACAGGCCATCGAGCTGGTGGAGAGCGGGGGGCTGGGCAAGATCCCCTCCGCCATCTCCACAGTCTCCATGCAGTGAGTGCTGCTTGCAGGGGGCTGCCCTGGGGGAGCCAACTTATGTCCGTGGCTCTGGGCTAAACCTCCTCCCCCCTCCCCTGTGTCACCTGGGCTGGAGGCGGTGGCTGTTCTACCCAGCGCCTCCCCCCTCGGCTGCCGCGAAACCCGGCTTTGAGCCTCGCTTCCTTTCTGTCTGTCCGTCCAGGAACATCAATCCCAAAGCCCTGCCCGTGGAGCGCATCCTGCCAGCGCTGTCCAAGGACAAAGAGGAGGAGATCCGCAAAATCCTGCGCAACAACCTCCAGAAAACCAGGCAGAGGGTAATGACCCTAGTTCACGCCCAGGCCGGCCCCTTGTGGCTCAGCTGATCCCCGGGGAGGGCAGAAATGGGAGCATTTCTAAACGGAGCAGCTGGGACTCCTCATGCCCTTCCTGCCCGCCCCTTGGTGTACTTGCCTGCTGCATCCCCTTGTCTACGTGGTCCGTCCCTTCACCCCACCCTCGTTAGGTTGGGCCCAGCCTGAAGTGGGACCGCCGCTGGCCTGAAGAACCACACAGCTGGGCGGGAGGCTGAGCATGTAGGGAAGAGAGCTGGCCTTGTGGTTACGGCCCTGGGCTGGGCCCCAGGACAGCTGAGTTCAATTCCCCAGATCTGCCACGTGACTGTTGTTTCTCGGTGCTTTGGTTCCTCAGCTGTAGAACAGGGAAATCCTGCCTGGGGTAGGAGCTGTGGGTTTTGTGGGCGTGATGGGGCCAGGAGGTGCTAATGGGAAGCCCTGAGAGCTTCTTGGCTGTGTAGTGGGGGGCTGATGTCTCTTGTGCTGCCGGGTGAAGGAGGGAAGCTGGGCTTTGGTAGCCAGCCAGGAGGGTGAGCTGGGGTAGGGAGGACAGGTGTTTTTCAGAAGCTCCGGGCTGCACTAGGAGCACAGGTCTCTCTGTGTGGGGGTTGAACTCGATGGCCTTTGGGCGCTAGCTCAGGAGACTTTTGGGAACGCCATGTTGGGTATTGCTTGGAAACCTGCAGACAGCTGTGTCCCTGTGCTGGTCCCCGCTTCTTGCCTCTGCTTCCCAAGAGAATATTTCCCGTGTGTCTAACTCTGATCCCTTACCGGTCCCTTCTCAGTTGCGCTCTTACAACCGGCACACGCTGGTGGCCGACCCTTACGAGGAAGCTTGGAACCAGATGCTGCTGAGGAGGCAGAAGGCCCGGCAGCTGGAGCAGAAGGTGCGCTGGGGAAGCGGGAGCTGATGGCTGCTGCAGGCTGGTCGGGGAAGGGGGTATTTGCACAGAGTGTTTCTCACCCCTCTGGGAGGAGACTTTACAAGCTGGGCCCAAGTGGCAGCCAGTGAAACGAGCCAATCCTCCTTCCAGCTAATGGTGGGGTTTGGCGCATCTAAAGTAACCCAGCTGCCTCCCGCCGTTGGAATCGTGCCCTCCGCAAGTTGCAACATAGAAGAACTTTCCTGGGAAGACCCTTTTATTCCTGCCCTATGGGACCACTTGTGGCTCCCCTGGCTGGTTCTACAATGCCTCCCTCATCAGAGCAGCTAGGCAGGGCAGAGCCCCTGTCTGCTGGCCGTGCCGCCGGGGATGGTGGATCTATTTCCGGTGGATCCGCTGGGCTCCTCCCTGCCTTTCGGTTCATCCCATCCCCGGTGGGATGTTGCCCCTGCCAAGGCTCCCGGCCCGGTAGAACTGGGAGCTCTCACGCCTGCTCTGCCTTCTCGTTCCAGATGAACAATTTCTTGACGGTCCCGTCGCACAAGCTCGACTCTCCCACCATGTCCAGAGCACGCATCGGCTCAGGTACGTGGGGGCTGCAGGAGCTGGGGGTGGTCTCCAAGGATGGCCCAGGAGAGACTGGGTAATGGGGTGTTGCCTACAGCAGCTGTTCCGTGTGTGTGCAGCTCTCTACGCTTTCCTGAAAAGGCCGGCTCTCGTTTCCTGTGCCTCTTCCAGACCGGCCGTGTGGGTGTGCGTCCCCCCACCTGCCAGCCCTCACTTCGGCAGCAGGGCAGCAATCTCTCTGTGTCTCCCCCTCCCTTGCCCCCAAAACATGCTCCGCACTTTAGGGAACACTGTTAGGGATGTTAAGAGGGTTAACCGGTTAGATACTAGCACTTAACCAGTTAACTGTTTTAAATTAGAGCCCAGCCTTAGGTTCCCACCATGGCCTTGGGTTCCACTACCCAGCCCCCTGGTCCCTCTGCGGCTGGGGCTGCTTGAGCCCTGCTCCAATAGGGGCTGGGACCCATACCGGCAAGCCTCATGCTTACTGGTATGCTTACCGGTTAACCATTTAACAGCCCTAAACGCTAGGGATGTAAGCAACTAGTCAAGTAATCGACTACCCAATACTAGGCTTATTGGGGAGTCAAGTCGACTGCTTGCTCCTCCCTCCCCCGCAATATCAGAGGCAGCAATGTGGGGAAGGAAGCAGGAGCCAGTTTAAAAGTGAGTTCCTCCCTGTACCGTCTCCGCAGGGTGGAGGGGGCAGAGCCGCAGTGCTCCTGGAGTCGGCGCAAGCCAGGACTGAGCAGTCCCAGCTCTGGGAGCTGCCCTCTGCGGCTCTTCCTGCATTTAAAATGCAGAGGCATAGCGGTCCCAGACTGGCACAAGCCAGGACTCCTCAGTCCCTGCTTGCACCGGCTCCGGGAGCTACCCCCGCTGCGGCTCTGCTGTTTAAATGGAGCAGGAGCCAGGCTGCTGTGCACCCGGCTCCTCCTACATTGAAGCTGCAGCAGGGGTAGCTCCTGGACCCAGTGTGAGCCGGAACAAAGCGCCTCCCCTTATTGACTAATCGTGTAGTCGATACAAACTGTATCGATTACACAATTAGCCAGTTACCTGCTTCTTACCACCCTTACTAAACGCGATTGGCAAGGTCTGAATCAAACACCCGTGGACTAGAAAAGAAATCCCCATTGTTGTTTGGCATGAGAATTTTAAAAAGGGGTGAGGGTGGGGGATTTCCCCCCTTTTTCCTGGCACTCCAGCCACGTGGGGGAAACTGTTGTTGGAGTGCTAGTGCTGGCTTCCCGCTGAAGGAATGGGAGACCTGAGCCTCGCGGATCTGATCTGGCGAAGCGGGGTTAGATCTGGCCCACAGGCTTTGCCTGGCAGAAGGGAGGCAGCGGCTCCTGCATGCTGCAGAGAAGCGCTCCATGCTGGCACCGCCCTTTGTTGTTCCTATTGGCTGAACGGCACCCAATGGGAGCAGTAGGGGTGGTGCCAGCAGGAGGTTGCTTCCCTACATAAGACCAGCCATACTGGGTCAGACCAAAGGTCCATCCAGCCCAGTACCCTGTCTGCCGCCAGTGGCCAATGCCAGGTGCTCCAGAGGGAGTGAACCGAACAGGTAATGATCAAGCGATCTCTCTCCTGCCATCCATCCCCACCCTCTGACAAACAGAGACTAGGGACACCATTCCTTACCCATACTGGCTAATAGCCATTTATGGACTTAACCTCCATGAATTTATCTAGTTCTCTTTTAAACCCTGTTACAGTCCTAGCCTTCACGGCCTCCTCAGGCAAGGAGTTCCACAGATTGTCTATGCGCTGTGTGAAGAAGAACTTCCTTTTATTTGTTTTAAACCTGCTGCCCATTAATTTAATTTGGTGGTCCCTAGTTCTTATATTATGGGAACAAGTAAATAACTTTTCCTTCTTCACTTCCTCCACACCACTCATGATTTTATAGACCTCTATCCTATCCCTCCTTAGTCTCCTCTTTTCCAAGCTGAGAAGTCCTACTCTCTTTAATCTCTCCTCATATGGGACCCATTCCAAACCCCTAATCATTTTAGTTGCTCTTCTCTGAATTTTTTCTAATGCCAGTATATCTTTTTTGAGATGAGGAAACCACATCTGTGTGCAGTATTCAGAATACTGCGTATATGTACGCACTACTTATATAGGGGCAATAAGATATTCTCCATCTTATTCTCTATCCCTTTTTTAATGATTCCTAACATCCTGTTTGCTTTTTTGACTGCCACTGCACACTGCATGGACGTCTTCAGAAAACTATCCACGATGACTCCAAGATCTCTTTCCTGATTACTTGTAGCTAAATTAGCCCCCATCATATTGTATGTATAGTTGGGGTTATTTCCAATGTGCATTACTTTACATTTATTCACCTTAAATTTCATTTGCCATTTTGTTGCCCAGTCACTTAATTGGGTGAGATCTTTTTGAAGTTCTTCACAGTCTGCTTTGGTCTTAACTATCTTGAGCAGTTTGGTATCATCTGCAAACTTTGCCACCTCACTGTTTAGCCCTTTCTCCAGATCATTTATGACTAAGTTGGACAGGATTGGTCCTAGGACTGGCCCTTGGGGGATCCCACTAGTTATCTCTCTCAATTCTGAAAATTTACCATTTATTCCTACCCTTTGTTTCCTGTCTTTTAACCAGTTCTCAATCCATGAAAGGACCTTTTCTCTTATCCCATGGCCATGTAATTTACACAAGAGCCTTTGGTGAGGGACCTTGTCAAAGGCTTTCTGGCAATCTAAGTACACTATATCTACTGGATCCCCTTGTCCCTGCAGTGTACAGAGTTGCGTGGAGACACGTGTTTTCCCTCCTGCCCAAACCCTGCACCCCCTTCCTGCTCCTTCTGTACCTGGCTCTGGACTCCCTACCCCAACCCACTCCTGTGTCCTCCCCCCTGCCCACTCCCTGACAACCCTCTGCTGTTTAAATGGAGCAGGAGCCAGGCTGCTGTGCACCCGGCTCCTCCTACATTGAAGCTGCAGCAGGGGGAGCTCCTGGACCCAGTGTGAGCCGGAACAAAGCGCCTCCCCTTATTGACTTAATCGTGTAGTCGATACAAACTGATTCAGACCTTGCCAATCACTTGAGGGCCAGGTCAGTGAGGATTATGGTTTTTTTTTTTTTTTTCTCACCTGTGTATGGCCCCTGACCCAAAAAAAGGCTGCCCGCCCTGGATTTTAAGGATAGAGAAATAGTCCAGAACTGTGACCATTCTCACCCGTAGCCACCAGGGGGCAGCCTTTGCAGCTGGCTGGAGTGAGCCATTCCTGGCCAGGTGCGGACTTGAGGGCCAGGTCAGTGAGGATTATGGTTTTTTTTTTTTTTTTCTCACCTGTGTATGGCCCCTGACCCAAAAAAAGGCTGCCCGCCCTGGATTTTAAGGATAGAGAAATAGTCCAGAACTGTGACCATTCTCACCCGTAGCCACCAGGGGGCAGCCTTTGCAGCTGGCTGGAGTGAGCCATTCCTGGCCAGGTGCGGATGCTGCTGCATATGTGACCCGCGACACTTCAGGGCCCTTTTCCCGGCGGTGCTGAGCTCCCACGGACTTTGGCTAGAGCAGGGTGCGCTCGGCATCTTGGAGACCAGGCCCGGAGTGTGAGCCGAGCTTCCTGCTCGGGGCAGGTATCGCACATGCAACTCAGTGGGCAGGGACCATACGCTGTAGGTCCCCATGCACTGGCCCGAGCCCCAGGCAAAGCAAATATTCTTAGGGCTCTTGGAAAGATGTGTGCAGCTCAAGCTGGCACCTGTGCTGCCCTAGCAGTGCCCTCTCTCCCAGGCGTCCCCGCCATCAGGGTGAAAGGCGCTTCCGGACAGGGGTGATTTCATCAGTGATTTAAGTGCTCGCTCGTTCTCCCGTGAATGCCGTCCTTGCTGTGGGTGCGAGGCTCGTGGCAGCTTGTTGCCGTGTGTGTAAAGCGCTTTGAGATCCTCTTTCGAGACCTTTAACCAAGGAACAGATCTTTGAAGTCTGTACTCTGAGCACCCCCGCTTCCTCCATGACTAGATCATCTTCTCCTGAAGAGCTGGGAATAGAACCAGGGAGCCCTGACAGCCATTGCCCTGCCCTAACCACTAGACTCCACTTCCGCACGCTATTTTTTTAACGCTCGGTCTAAGAGAACTCGGCCTGGCCCTCCGGATGAAGGGAGGGCAGCTGTGTTGGGTGCCAAGATGCTAACTGTGTTCGCCTCGCTCCTTCTTTCCAGACCCGCTGGCCTATGAGCCCAAGTCAGACTCGGAGAACCTGCCTATCATCACGATCGACCCGGCCTCGCCCCAGTCGCCGGAATCTGTTGACCTGGTGAACGAGGAGCTGAAGGGCATGAGCCGCCTCCCGCCATCGCCCGAGGAGGAGGAGGAGGAAGGGCTTGTGATGCACGTGAAGGAATCTTCCTCCCCAGGCACTGACGACGTCTTCACCCCGGGCGCCGGCGACAGCCCCAGCAACCAGCGAATGATGCGGTGCCTGAGTGACCCGGGGCCTCGGCCTGCCCCCGAGGAGGGCGAGCCGTTCATCCCCAAAGGGCAGTAGCAGCGGGTGCGCTGCTGCATCTGGCCTGCAGGGGGAGCTGCTTGCGCGCACATGGATTCTTTGATTTCCCTTTGCCTCCCCTAGTACTACACTGGGCCGGCTGCTGAGTGAGCAAATGGCTTGGGCAGGGGGACCCCAGTGACTTTCAGCAAAGTGGGGAGCCCGTGTGCGCCAGCCTGGGTCTTCAGCTTTCCTGTGCTGCCCTGGACTGCCTTCCCTGGGCCGTGCCGCGATGCTGGCTGAATGGAGGGAATCCCAAAGGAGATCTCTGACCTACAGAGTTGGCCCACCCAGGCGCTTCACAGCTGCTGGAGAACTGACCCCCTCCCCGGGCAGATCTGTGCTGTGTCCCCTGCCTCAGACGCAGCCTGCATCCATGCCAACTCAGGGACTGTTGCAACCCGCGTGTTTGTGAGTTACTCCCCAGCTGGTCGGTGGGAGGGAAGCAGGACTCAGGGCTTAGTCTCTGCCCAGCGTTATTCCCTGGTGACGGCGCGGCAGCCTGCCTCGCTGTGGAGGCTGCGGCACCCAACAGGCGTTCGTCCGCAGAGGAACTGGGAACTCCCACCACCCTGCATGTGCCGTGCTGTAGGTGCTAATGTGCACCCCCTGCTCTTTCCAGCACCCTCTGCCGTGCTCAGCTCACCCTCTTCCCCCAACTCGGCTGGGGGCCAGCCTGGCTTAGACTTGCAGCGTCAGGGCTGCAGCCGCTGCTGCCTTGCATTGGCTGATGTCAGGCTATCACCCCCAGCAGCCAACTTTTTAAATGTCTTGGTTCAGGGTGGGTGTGTGTGTGCAGCGTTTTAGATTCTTGAAGGGGTGGGTAGAATTTAAAAAAATTTATATCGCCATAGGGGGTCACTGCGGTGTCAGGCCAGATCTGGGTAGTCCTGGAAGTCTCCTTTCGCTCTGTGTGCTCTCTCATTTAAAAGCTGTTAGAAATAGACTGCTGGGGAGCTTGCTGCAAGGCAGAACCCTGAGGAGCAAGGTCCGAGCTGGGATGGGCAAGACCCCGCCCAACTTTGTCCCTCCAGGACCAGCCCTCTCCCCCCTCCCTCCCCCCGTTAGGGCACTCCCCATTCTGGGCCCAGTCTCCGTGTGGAATGCTCTGACCTTGCCCCTCCGCTTGGTTGGGGACTTGGTTATCTGATGATCTATACTCTGCTTTTTACTCTTCCCCCCCACCCCCCGGATCTAGAGCAATGAGTGTCTCTGAACCAAAGATGGCTGGGTGGCTTTATTGTAAATAGGGAATTGGGGGGGGGGTTTGTGAGTTAGTGGGTTTTTTTTGTTTTTTTGGTTTTTTTTAATGCTGCGTATATTTTCTTAGGGAACCTGGGCTAGGCCTTGACGTGTCCAAGCCTCTTGCCCTGCCTGGCTGGGGATGCCTCCTCCATGGCTAGGCATGGCACGTTCCTTACTGCAAAGCTTTAATGGCCTCCGACAGGCAGGGAAGTCTCTCCACCAGAGGGGAGGGGGCCAGGCTCCAGGAGCTAGTTTACCTGTGGTTCTGGGTGGGGTCCCATAGCTGGCATCCCTACCCCCCAGTGATGGACCATTCAGGAGCATCTCGGGTTACTTCCTGGCATGTTGTTCTGCCTCCTGCTCCCAACCATCCCCTGGGCTGTCCCTGCATTGCCCCTGCCCCTGTGCGGCTGGTGGGCTGCTTTCCTCCTGCCTTGCGCCATTCTCTCCACCCCCACCTCCCGCTGGTCCTGGGAGTCTGGCCGTGGTCTCCTCGTCTGCAAAGCTTTGCTCCCCACTGTGTGTTCAGGGAGGGGCTCTTAGGCCATTGTTGGCCAGGAGAGGTCCTTGGGGCTGCCTGTCATGTGGCTGTCACACACGGCAGCTGCTGCTTTGGGTCTGTGTATAGAAAATGGGGGCCGGGGGTTGCAGACATGGGGGGAGGGGATGACCATTCCGGAGTGGGCTGACGGCCTTCAGTTCTTGAGATCCCGTCGGTGCCACCTGTCCTGTAGAGGGCGCTGCAGGGTGTGCGGGGAGCGTGGCTTTCAGGGCACCTGCCCGTCCGGCGCCTGTCTCCCTCCAGTAGCGCTTCGCCAACCCTGCCGCGCCTGCCGGCGTGCTCGTCTCTCTGCCGTGCGTCGTGCCTTTTAGCCACAGTGTCTGCCTGCACCAACGGCGGTGGCCTAGCCTCTCCGCCTTCTGCCAATGCTGCTTCTGTGTGTCCGCTGACGTCGGGGGTCTGCCTCCCCCCCCAGCCTGCTCCATATGTGACTCCATTCCACCATCCACCCAGCGAGCCTCCCGCACGCCTGGTGGCCCAGCCCGTCCGCAGGGACCGGGCGGGGAGGGCGGGGTGGTGTTCCCCAATGTGCAATATCTGTCTGACATCGGGCTCTCTGCAGCTCATGGCTTCTGAGCGCCCGGAGGCAGGGAGTCGACCGGAACGTGGCCGTCTCTGGGTGCGTAAGCAGTGCTCCGCCTCCAGGAGGAACAATTAAGCAATGAAAATTCTCTCTTGTATAAAACACCTGTAAAGAGGATCTTTTTTCATGACTATTCTAAATAAATTAATGTTAATTTTTAGTGGCTTTCATTCACCTTGCAGCACTTTCCACCCTCTTCTCTAGAAGTTTCCTATCATAAGCCGCCCAACCCACTGCCTTGCGGCAGGTGAGTTCTGTCCTCCTCCTCCTCCTATGGGAAAACCTGAGTTACCCTGGCTGCATTTTACCAAATGATGAGTCAGCCACAGGACTGGCACTAACAGCAGATCTCTTCACTCCTCTTCTGGGCTCTGCCTGCTTCCCTGTAATAGCCACAACCAGACGGTCCGGCTCCTTCCTCTGCACGGCGAAGGGCTGTTGTGGCACTGAAGATGAGCAGTAATCTAGAGCATTCTGGTCGTTCTGCAGCTAAACCTGGCGGTGCAAACCCAAAGCTAGACGCAATCTAAGCCCACTGGCATGAGTTCTGCCCTCCGGCTAATGGCTGCTCCTGTTCCTTGCAAAGCGAGACCCGTAGGGGATATCCCCTCCCTGAGACCAGGAACATTCCCAAAAGCTGAAGGAGGCAGGGCTCGCTTATAGTGATCTGGGGATGCTGAGTTCTTGGCAGGTTGGCGAGGCAGCAAGGAGCAGGCTAAGTTCCACCCAGCAGCTGGGGGTGTGCATTCACCGTGATCTCGCTGATGCTCAAAGATTGAGGGGCTGTCTTCACTCTCCCTAAACTGGGTTTAGGAGAATGACAGAACTATTTTAGCTTGATCCCTAATTTTTATTGCAGGCAGCCCTGCCTCTCCAATGGAACAAAGAATCTCTTTTTGGCTTCTGTCTCCAATAGCCTAACTTCATCTCGGCTGGGCCTCCGGTTGGGAAGCTGGCTTTAAAGCATGGGGTATTGGGCAGATGATACTTACGCTCTAAGCTGAGAAAATGGCCCCATTGTACAAGGTGCCGTCCTCCACTGGAGGCTGACAGTCCCTGGCAGAAGGCATTTGCAGCCTAGCCACCCAAGGCCAAGGCCAGCTGGGAGGGGGCGAGTGTTGTTATCCTCACTTTCCCCGTGTGCATGGAGGTGCAGAGAGGGGGAGTGACTTGCTCGTGCTCACACGGCCTCTGAATCAGAGCCAAGAAGTTAACCCAGATCTGCAGCCCAACCCAGAGCCTCCCTTAGCCAAGCCAGCCTCCTGGAGTACAACCTCTCCTCCTTCCTCCACCATGCGCAGCTCCGATATTACTGCCTGGGAGGGGGATGCCAAGAGAGGAAACTCCACCTTTGTGTGGCCGTTTGGTCTAGAACTCAGCCCCCACTCAGGGCGGGTGAGCAGAATTTCCTAGGGCGTATCTGCCCCAGCCAGGACTTTGTGTTCCTGCGGGTTGCACCTGCCCTTGTCCTGTTGCTGTAGGGTGGGACTGGCCTGCTCAGGGATGATCAGAGACTTGCTGTCCTAGCAGAGCTCAAATGTAAGCACCAGTGTGTTCCTCTCCACCTTCTTCCTCCAGGCCAGGGCTGGCGTTCTGCTGACCTGCTGAGTCCTGGCTGTCCCATAAGAGAACCTGGGGGCCTGTCCCCACGGATCCGCGTGCCCCCTGTGCCTGGCTGCTGCAGCGTTGTCAACAGCAAACTCCGCTGCAGCGGAGTTCCATAAATCACCGCTTGTTCTAATGTCCCCGTGTCTGGAGCCGAAGCCTTGTAGGAAATCGTGTATTCCTGGGGGGCAATACCCTTTCTCCGGTGCATGTCTCTCTTTTGGAGGCCAGTTGGAGAGGCGCTTCTCTGGCCGAGCGGCTCAAGGCCTGTTTTAAAATGTTAGTCTAAGCCTCTCAAAGCCTGTAACCCAGGAAGGAGAGATGGGGAAACTGAGGCGCACTGAGCAGTGACACTCACACAGCGTGCCAATGGGAAGGGAGCCAGGAGCCCTGACTCACAGGTCTGCCCTTAGCCGCAAGACTAGCCAGAAATGGAAAAGGAAAGAATGGGCCCAACCGAGGGACCAGAGAAGTGGAGTTGGGGGTCCTGCCCTTGTCCCGGCAGGGGGGCAGAGCCGGTCCTCGCTCCTTCCTGGGGGGCTGTGCTGGAGGAGTGGCACGAAGCCAGGTGGGAATCTGCTCTGGGGACTGGGCTCCTGTGTTTCTCTTCCCCTGCCCCCTGGCGCCTTTTCTCTCCCTGTGGGTTTGGATTTGGATCAGGGTGCTGGGACTCTGGGACTGCACCAGTTTCCCAGGTGTTTTACAAAGGTGCTCTGACTCATAGCCAGCGGGGTGGGGCGCGGAGGGGTGGGGATCCTTCTGGAATCTGCCAGCAGCCAGGCCTGGCTGTTCGCAGGGAGGCTGCTTGGATCTTGCAGGCTTAGCAGGAGGTCAGAGGTCTGGCCAGCCCTGGCAAAACAGCTTGCTGGCTACACGCCCTGCTGCCCCCTATTCCCTGCAGCACCAGCTGGGCAGTGCGATATTCACTACCTTTGCCGCATTCCCCGCCCAGCTGCCTGGGTGTGATCATGTCCCTCCCACCCCTGATTCTGCACCATGAAGGGGAAGAACAAAACCTCCTCCACAGTCCAGCATTCAACTCGAGGGTGCCAGCACCACCTTGTGCTGGTGAGCATGAGAGTCAAGGAGGCGCTGGGTCAGAAGCCGGTGGCTCCCCTGGCTCCTTGCTT